CAGCAGGAAGGGCTGCTCTGAGCTAAAGTGAGGGCTGGTAACAGCAGCTGAGCCTTTACAGCTGTTTGCTCAGGGTTATGGACAGGAACACCTTGCTCTCACCATGCAACGCGTTCATCTAAGTCTCAGTACCATCCAGATATCAAGTATTAACATTTGAGCTTTGCCTTCACAGTCAAGTTCCCATGTGGTAAGCTTCAGAAAAATCATGTTGGTCGAGAGAAAGTCACAGGAACCACAGCAAGTCCAGATGCTCATCCTGAAAACGAGGAAACCACCGAGGCCCCGAGCAGCCATCCAGAGGACACCGAGGAGGCAGGCAGTTTACCCAGCGTGATCCCATGGCAGGTAAGGAGCCCTTGTCCTGAGAATTTTAACACCTGACCCTGCTCGCCAGGACTGGCAGCCATTTACTTTTCATTGTACTCATCCCCATTTGCCAAGGGGACCTAGCTTGATTTGAGAGAGACTTCCCTGGTGTCAACATTTTGGGTGATGGTTCTACTCCCTTGAGTACTGTGTTACTGCACAGGTTTCCTGCCTTGAATGATGTGCCTCTGTTTCAGCATCAAGCAAATGCTGAGATGGGGGACATGAGGAGAGATTAGGGTTGCAGATACGAGATGTAGATCTGGGTGAGCCACAGGGCCTCTTCCCTGCCAGCCACCCCATTATTTGGGTTGCTGCATGGCGATATCAGAAGAACAGCCTGAGTTCCTGTTGTGGCCAAGGCTGAAGTGAAACAAAAAACCCAAACAGTAATAGTACTATTAAAATACTAGCTTAAATTTGTTTAAAGAATAATAACCAAAAACTGTTGGTAAAATAACTGAATGGACAAACTCCTCTTGGAGCCAAGAAAAAAATCTGTCTTGACAAGTTTCCCACTGTGGTGGCTACAGCTCAGTATAACTTTCACTACCTCTGAATGAAGGATGCCTTGAACAGAAAATACATACAAAAAGGTTTAATATAACTGATTGAACCTCAGCTAGTTGTTTAGGATTTCTCTGTTTGTGTGTTTTTGTGCTTTATCTCTCTTCTTTCTCTTTGCAGGCTGTTATAGTCGATGAGTACAATGAATTGTTTTGTGGGGGTACAATTCTGAATGAGTATTTTATACTTTCTGCAGTTTACTGCAGTACTGAGTCTAAAGACTTACGGGTTTTTGTTGGTAAGTGCTTCTCATTTTGCAGTTCACTATAAAAATAAGAAGCTGCCCCATGTTCTAGTCTCCATATGTGAAACACTGAACTCTGCCAGAATCTTTCTTACCCTCTTGTTATTTCTCACTACCTCATCTTGTCCCTTGACTAACAGTGGAATACATTTTCAACTGTGTTGAATGGACAGTTTCTTTAAGCTTGGCTTGGCTCAGTGTAGCTTGTGTATGATAGAAGCCAAGTATAAACTGGAAAGGTATGTGGACAGGCAAGGTTGAGCTGATGTAGTTAAACTGGTCTAACATTACATCTTTTTGCAATTTCCCCTGTTGGCCAAGCCTTGAAGAATTCCAGATGCCTCATTCAGATGTTAGCAATAACTGTTTCAACAGCATGTAGATATTAGTCTGAGCCTGCTCTATACTTCAAACCTCAAATTTATTATTTATTACTGTCATTTATGAAACAGCAGTTTACCACAAGTTCTAGGCACTGAAAAACAGTGCTCTGAGTCACAAAAATTGTACTCATGCTACAATGGTAAAGCAAAAACTGTGTTTGCCTAAACTCCAATCGTCTGTCCATTTAATTCCCAAAGAGACTTCATACAAGTTGAGAAAGACTAAATATTTATAAATTTCCAAATTTTTATAAGCAGAATGTAGTTTTACAAGATAATTAATATCTATTTTCTGTTTAAGTCTGACTATGTTGCTCTACAAATGAGAGGAGCAAGATCCTCCTTTACTGTGTTGAAGCATTTGGTTGTATATCATAAGAGTGCCATTGGGAATATTGTAATGAAGCCAAAAACTTTATATCAAAGCTTTAATTGAGAGCATTATTTTGATATCAAAGTTCTGATTTTCTACTTGCTTGGCATTTTGGCACCCTTCAAACCCCTCCAAAACGGGTATAAAATGATACAGCATCAGGATACAGGCCTGGTCTATTGTATTTGTACATACAAATTTGTATATACATTTGTACAACAATGCCTATACGAAGGTCAAGGAACTTTGGTCCTTTTGTTTATCGAGATGCAGTTTAGACTTGTTGGTATTATCTTATTAACAACTACTTTAATAATCTAACACAGGGATGGTGGACAAAGAAAAGGAAGAGCCAAGCAGAGCAATATACAGAGTGGAAAAAGTAATTGCACATGCTGAGTATGATATGAAAACTTACAACAACAACATAGCCCTTTTCAAATTAGAAAAACCTATCACATTTTCTGAAGATGTTATCCCAGCATGCCTTCCAGAAGAAGACTTTGCTAACAATGTTCTGATGAAGCAAAGATTTGGGATTGTCAGTGGCTTTGGGAGAACTCTTGAAAAGGGGCAACTGGCCAAAAGAATGAAAGTGTTTCAAATCCCTTACGTGAACAGGAGCACTTGTGAGCTTGCCCTTCATAGCCCAGTCACAACAAACATGTTCTGTGCTGGTTATGATAAACATGGAAGAGATGTCTGTGGAGGAGACGGAGGAGGCCCCCATGTAACGCAATACAATGGCACTTATTTTGTTACTGGTATTATCAGCTGGGGAGAAGGCTGTGGAAGGCAAGGGAAATATGGAGTATACACCAAATTGTCAAAATTCCTACCTTGGGTAAGAAGTGCTTTGGCAGAAAACTCATAACGGTTTGGACTAATTGTGTTAACCATCAGATCTGATCTCTAAGTGACATTTTCCAATTTTTAAACCACTTGTTAAAATTCTGATAGTTTGCGTTTCCCTTAAGAGATGCCATCTATTCCTTCATGAACTACTGCCTGGTTTTCAGAACGTGGGCTTGGAAACAGCTTGCTGGTTTTGAACAATAATGAGATTTCTTCAAATGTGATGATTTAGGAACTCCTTCTGCTCCTGTTGTGATAACCTAAATTTGTCTATTGGAGGCTTTGCCTTTGCTGGTATGCCCCCCCTCCCATTGCAATAAAAGTTGGAATTAACTCAACATTTCTGTGGCAGTACCTGCTTCATAGAAACAAACCAGACTAAGATAATATCAAAGTAAGACAGTATCAGAGCAGGACAGCATTTTAAAAGCCTCTGGAAAAGCTACCTAGTTTTCTCGATTTATGCGTTTGTGCACAGGAAAAGACAGAAAATGCAAAAACCACCCATGTACCCACATGTATCTAAATAATTGGGCATATCACTGAATCAAATCAGTTCTTAGATGAAGCTCATTGAATTGGAAAGGCTTGCTTCATCACCAAAATCACTGGCGGCGTTCTGATATTTTCTTTCTTGCTTTCTGGGTGAGATATTTTCTTCACCATCATTATTCATGTTGTTGTTTTGGCTATAATAAAGGGAAAATATTGCCTAACCTACAAATTACAATATTGTTGTATGTCATAATTTATATAGAGTGTTGTTTAAATTATTCACAACTGAAGAAGTTTAAAACCTACAAGGATAAATAATCTTTTAAGACTAAGAAAAGCCTGACTCTCTAATCAGCTGAACCTGACATCCTCTGTCTGCCTTATTTCAATCACAGAATCACAGAATATTAGGAGTTGGAAGGGACCTCGAAAGATCATCCAGTCCAACCCCCTGCCAGAGCAGGATCACCTAGACCAGGTCACACAGGAACACGTCCAGGCGGGTTTTGAATGTCTCCAGAGAAGGAGACTCCACAACCTCTCTGGGCAGTCTGGTCCAGTGCTCTGTCACCCTCACAGTAAAAAAGCTTTTCCTCATGTTCAGATTGAACCTCCTATGCTCCAGCTTGCTCCCATTGCCCCTTGTCCTGTCATTGGCTATCACTGAGAAGAGCCTGGCTCCTTCCTCCTGACACTCGCCCTTTACACATTTATAAACATGAATGAGGTCACTCCTCAGTCTCCTCTTCTCCAAGCCAAAGAAACCCAGCTCCCTCAGCCGCTCCTCATAAGGGAGATGCTCCACTCCCTCCATCATCTTCGTGACTCTGTGCTGGACTCTTTCAAGCAATTCCCTGTCTTTCATGAAGTGAGGTGTTTTTCAGCCACTGCAGTGGGGCATAAAAATGGTGATCTAGATATTAAGGTGTTTGAGTCTTTATAGAAAAACAAAGTACTTTGTGATGCACTTTAAAAGTGCAATAATGCGACAGTACATAATTTGTAGAAGAGGTAAAAGAGAGATGTTAAAATGATATTGAGGCACAAAGTGTGCAGTATTTTTCTCATTCCCTGGCTTCACAATATCCAGTTTGCAAGTGTGAAAGTCACCATATAGGGGTCATTTTTTTAATATGGATTTTGTTGGACAGTTTGAAAGGAATAGAGTGTTTAAATTTGTCCTGTGATGACCACTGTCCTGTTTCCTTCGAAAAAAACAGAAAAATCACACTGGAGTCAGTTCTGTTTGCATAGTTTCTCCCCATTTTTCTCTGACACATCTTCTGATCCTCAAGACTGCTAAATGAACTCAATCCTGGAGTGACAGCACATCACAGGTCATGGTGTGCAAGTCACAGAAAGAAGTTCAGCCTCTCATGGCTGCATAGAATGGTTTTCAGTTGACCTTTAAGAACATCAAGTCCAAACATCGAACCAGCCCTACGTCCACCACTACGCATATGCGATGCCCTGACATCACTGCTCCAAAGGATTTACCCCTGTTTGACTTCCTATAGGACCTGCGTTGAAACCTCTGGTTATACTTCAGCCCTAAACTATATACTGAGAGAACCAAACCTGATATATCAAACTGTGGGTTATGCTCAGATGTGTCCCAGGGACTATGAGGAGGCCATTGCACAGGGCTTGCACTCGCTGACCCATTCCCTCATTGCCGTCCATCTGTCCTCCTACCCAGCCCCGCATTACCATCCGCCCCAGCTCTGCAGCACTCCTACTTTATCCATAACCAGTTACAAAAGGCACAGTTGTCTTTAGCTCAACATGCTTTCAGAAGAATCAGTCATCTGAGCTTCTCCTGCCTCACCTCCCAGTCTGCATTTCCAGGTACAAAACACTGTCATCTACGTACTCAGATGTTCAGAACCAGGTAAGAACAAATTCTGTCTGCAGGGACACGTACCCCAGCTGCTTAATTGCACAGGGAATTGCAATTCTCAGTCCAGATACATAACAAGGTGCACATCACGTGCTCTGCCTAAACGTTGAGTCCTCACAGAGAGGACAGAGTTTTAACTCAAGTAAGCCTGGAAGATTTACTTTGAAACTCAAATAAGCTTTTTTACCATCATTTCTCAACATAGACGGATTTTTTTTTCCTTGCCATAAATGCAGAACTTCAAAAAAATAATCCAGTAATGTAGCAGTTGCACAAGTCCACAAAGTCCATGTCTCACAGGGCTTGGGAGTCAGGTTTATGGCAGAAGCCACTTCTACCACACATTTACCTCTGTCTGGGCTGTGGGTGGAAGCTGTTGGATGCTGGCTCTGCGCTGGCATTTCTGAGGTTGGGTCAGGGCTTCCCT